TTACATATTCATATATATAAAATAATACATTATTATTTATTATGTTATTTATTATGTATTTTGTTTTATCTTATATACATTTTTATACCTTCCATGTGTACTTTCTACGTATTTAATTGTGATATAATTTAAAATAAAGAAAAAATATTAAATATAACTTAATTTTTACTCTTCAAAGGATTTCAAAGGAAAGTATTTCAAAGTATTTCAAAGGATTTAATTCAAAAAAAAGTTCCACAAATATTTAAATTTAGTCAATTAGATATACTAATTTTAAGAATATTCTAACCATAGAATTATAATATATCTATTTCGTAATTTCGTGATTTAAATCTATTGAGAAATTAAAAAAAAAATTTTTTAATTTAAATATGTATATGTAACTTAAATATATATATATTTAAATTCAAGATTTTATCATCATAAAGATTAAAATCAAATAAAAATTTAAAATATAAATGCTTACGAAGATAGTCGAACATTATTTCACAAGAAAATTAATCAAAAATCTTGATAATAAAAAAGTTTTTGTGTATATAATAGTTGTTAATATATTTGTGATATCTTTGAAAAGTTTCTAAAAGATTAAAAATTAAATTTAAAAATCAAAAACATAAAAATTTTGTATAGAATAGAAAAATATTAGTTAAGACTTATTTATTAAGTTAGAAACAAGTTGAAGTTTGTGTTAAATCAAATGAAGAAATTTACAGAAATAGAATAAGAAAGAGGTAAAACAGTGACGAAAACAGAGCTATCTAAATCTATCCCCTGCTTCATCTAATACAAACTTCAGTTGCTTATAAATAATTTTAATAAATAAATCTCAATCAATATTTCTGTATATCAATTTTTACGTTTGTTTTCGCTTCAATAATCGATCTTCTAAAGATATATTAACATTCTGTATATGGAGCAATTGTTTTTTTTTTTCATTTATAACAAAGTACTCGAATACTTTCATGAGATATTAAAATATAAATATAAATTTCCAGAATTTATAATATTATTAATTAATATAATGATAAAAAAAGATAGAAAAATAATCTTTGAATAATTTATCTTGAATCAGGTAAGAATAACGAAAGGAGTTGCTAGAAATTTGCCGATGGTTAGATGTCGACACCTCGTCCGTGATCTTAACGATCGATCGAGCCTTCCCTCGAGGCTCTGGAGAATTTTCCATCCCCCTTACCACCCTACCACTAGCGTAGTGCTTCCTTTCTCACTTCCGGGTTCCCAGCTCTTCCGGCCGGAATTACGTTTCGAAAGCCTTTCTTCTCTCACCCTCCCACCACCCTCACCGCCCACTTCCTCTTCCTCCTACGCCGTTTCTCCCCTTTAACCTCTTATCAGCTCTCTTCACTGCGATAGAAAATGGACGTAAAAACCTTTCAACCGAACATTCTCTAGTTAGAGAATAATACTTTTTCTCTTGGTACGCTGATAAAAATAATATATCAGCATATTAATTTTTCGAAAATTAAATTTTTTTTTTCATTGGTTCGATGAATTTCAATTTGTTAGGCTAAAAATGTGTGACAATAACTATGAATAGACTCGAATTAATCAATAAAATGGAACAAAATATAAAAGAAAAATTTTTATTTACTACTATATATTGCTTGTAAGAATGAATAAAAATTGCATTGCATAGAAATATTCAAATTAAAATCTATATTTGATAGAATAAATTATACATTTTTAAAGATAATTATTAAAAATTATTAATTTTATACATTTTTTAAAATAAAATTAAATAATTTGCAAAAAAATTTTTTTCAGAATATTCTTTTACATATATATAAGAAATATTGTTTGTAAATATTTTCAATTTACATTTAACTGTATTGCAAATATTATTTTATATATTTATTTTAAAATATCAATAAATTTATGATACAAGAAAAGCTATTATAAATAATATCATAAAAACAAGAATAAGAAAGTTAAAAATTAAGTTTAAAAGCATAATTAAAAAAAAAATTCTCTTTGAAAATTAATTTTTCAATTTTAATTCTAAATAGTCAATTATTGAGAATTAATATCTAATGATAACGATGAAAAATCTAGTAAAATTTAATTTATAATTAAAAATTAATTTATAATTAATATTCATTAGATAGATAGCAATATTTTATAAATATAATAGCATACAATTTAATGGAAAATATGAAACAATTAAACATATGAATATAAATATTTAAATTAGATTATAAAATTTGATACATTTCTTTTTTTGTTTATTTTCTTTCTTAATCTATTGCATAATTATGTTGCTGTACGAGTATATTTAAGAGATTATTACACCATAGTGTAATACAATATAATACATAAGAAATCATTGTTCTATATATTTTTATATAACTATTTTTATATAAAAAATTATATAAAAAATACTTATTTTTAATAATTAATAAAAACAAATTTTATTTAAGGCATATATTTTTTGTAGAATAAGCGATAAATTAAGTAATAGCGAAAGCTAACATCGTAAAAATATTCAGAGAGTAAGAAAGTTACATACATTTTATATCTATCTTTATAAATTTCAATGTGTACTACCGATTAAATTAACCGAATACAATGATTTTTATAGCAAAATTATTATGAATATTTTTACAAATTTCCCCATTATTTAAATTATATATTATTTAAATTATAGCTTATTGAGCAAAACTTCTTATTTTGATATATAATAAATAATAAATTTTATATCAATAATTCAATAATATTATAACAAATAAATATAACAATATTATAACAATAAATATAATATAACAATAATTTTTTATATATTCTAGTGTTCAAATATTAACATAAGTCGTTATAATTCGATCGCAAAGATCATGTGAATACTTATAAAGTAAATATGTCAAAAAACCGCTGGCCGGATCTTAGTCAACAGACCTACTATAGATAAAGAAGACGCTTGTCTGGCGCAGATTTAAAAGAAATACGGGTTTGGCGAATGAGAAAGATGACACGAATAAATTCCTCTCCTTTTTTTTCAATCGGGGAAAAGAGGAAAATAAAGAGAGAAGCGGTAACGCGGCTGCGCTAAGGAGGAAGGAATTATGCATGATTTTGTTCGAGCTCACGTGTTATGTAAATGATAACGTGCAACTTCCTGAATAACGATCAAGGAGCGTAAGCAACAGCCGCTCCGCTTAGCCGTCACATCGTGTTGTATACTTGCGTCAGTAGTGTGCGTGCGCGCGATCCTATTGCGCGTGCGCGGGCATGAGTAGAAGGAAAAGAAAACAGGAGAAGGAGAGGTGTATAAATCCTTCATACAGTTAGAAATTGAAGTACAGGAAACAAAAGGTTATGTCAATTTTTTTTTCTTTCATTATTTTCAATTCTATTTTAGCCATCGATGATTTTGTATGATTTTATTACAAATTCTTAATTATATTACTTATTACTTAATCGCATAATATTTATAATAAATTTAATAATATATTTATTAACATATATGTTATAAAATATATTTAATTATTCTGAAAAATTTAGTAAAATTGGAAAATTTACATTTTCTATTAGCAAATATTAATATAAGAAATAATAATTTTGTTTTAAATATAGAAAAATAAATTAATTTTAAATAATATAAAATTATCCAATTTTAATTTCAACTTTTTTTTAAGTTGAAAAGAATAAAAAAATTATTATAACTTTTATTATTTATAATTCTATATAATGATTATTTTTTTTTCTAATCTTTTTTTTGTTTTCAATTTATGATAGTAATTTAGATTAAATTAATAAAATTACAAATAATTGCAATGAGAAAAGAACAAATTGCATATGTCAAAAATATTTTTCATTATAAATATAACGAAATTTACCATACTTTACTTTTACCAATAAAAGAAAGATAAAGAAAGTTTATTTACAAAACCTAAAATTTCGATCGATATATCTTGCACTGATAAGCTTCTTATCATAGTAATAAATCATAAATTCGATGACATTCTTCGATGAGTTAAATGACGCTTGAAAATTATTAATTAAGCTGATTTCGGATTTAAATGAAACTCATTGATAAGCAGAAAGAGAAAAAATTAAACAATTGTCTCGGATGTTTTGCGATAAATTGTCTTCTATGTATTTTAATACTACTTCCGGAAAGTGAAAATTAACATATTAAGCTATTATAAGGTCAATACGAATAATTTTGCAATCATCATAAGCAATAAATTATTAATTTAAATAAGAAAACATGCTAATAAGAATAATCCATAATTTCATAATTTATTATATTTTATATCATAAAGGAAATTTAAATATAATAAATCATAAGATATTATAGATTAATACATGTCATTGTAAAAAGAATATTGAAAATATATATTATAAAATTTCTTGAATTTGTTATAAAAAATAAAGAATACTAAAATAATTAAAAATAAAAATACAATTTTTTTCATAATGCAATTAAGAATAATTATAAATTATAACATTAACAAATGTTATTTAGCAATGTTAAATTGGCAATGTTAAATAACCAATTATTAGTATAAAAAGAAATTAGTATGATAAGGCAAAACAATTATTCAATTTTTTAATATATATAATGTTATAAAATATGTTATATATACATATAACATTAATGTTGATTATAAACATACATTTTTAAAAAACATATAATTTCAAGAAAAATTGTACAAAATTTATCTTAAACTTAAGAAAATTACAATTTTCAAGTAAATTTTAAATCATTCTTTAGAATCTATATAATAAATTCTACAGAATCATTTTGCAAACATTATATTAATTTTTTTTATCATTTTTAATTTTAATATCATTAAAATAGAAAATACAAAAATAAATGGATTAAATTTGTGTTGATTAAAGAAAAAATAATTATATGTATCAAAAAATATCACGAAATAATAAAATAAATTTTTCGCATAATTATCTAAAAAATGATGTTTAGCTTAGTAAAAATTAAGATCAAAAAAAAATATATATATAAAATAGAATAACATTATTACCTCAGTTGTAGCTTAGCTGATAAATCGTCTGATGCGGCGTAATATCAATGCTGGAGATCGGTTAGTGAATCGAAATGAATCTCCTCGGCGGTCATCGGACAGAAATCCGCATCCTAATACGTCGCAACTCCAGCCTGGCATCCACAGGTATCCTCGAGACACCGACCACGCGCACGTGTATCTTTTCTTCCGCTACTCTTCTCTATCTCTCTCTGTCCCTCTCTGTGTCCCTCTTATCGCCGTCTTCTTTTTACGTACAAGAAGTTTGTACTATCTTGTACGTATTTATTTATATATCCATATCCAATATCTTCGATGAATTTTCCATTTATCTTTGCACATAAGTAGGATCCGCAATTAACAATATTAAAAGCTCGAATATCTCTATTAACAGCTTTTCGTGTCCATACGAGAAAAGTCCAGAGGTATCGAAATATCCATGTGTGTACGCGTATATCACAGAGCAGCTATCTACGCGGCTAAGTGTATCACAGTCGGCACACTCGAATCACTCTCCCTCCCTCTCACACTCTTGTTCGTCTCTTACTCATCGAGTCTTTTTAAGGTTATCGGAGGTTTACAAGGAAGCAGTTAGACAAATTCAAGAAGGATGCGAAATACAAAACGAGTCTCTTTTCACCTTGGACACGATTTGATTCGTCTCGCGAGTGTCTGAAAGTGATGTACACACGATAAAATTAATCAATTCAATCTCGTAGCTAGCGAGCGACTGAGCCGCGAGTCGCGATCTCCACTGGAAGCTTGCCGCCATTCCCCCCACTTCTCTCTCACACGCTAAGAGATACTTGCGTCAACGCGCATGCGCGCGGCTTGCCGTGCCGTATAATGCGTTCGACGAACGGAGACAAATGGACCACCGGAACGCGCGACCCTTTCAGTTGAACAAGGATAGATGGATAGCCGGTTATACGGCGCGAACGGAAATAATCGAAGCGTTGTAATCGAGTGGGAAATACCATGGGACATTGGAGGGGGCATTACCGACTTCCTCGTAGCTTCCTCGTAATCGCGATCCTGACTGTTGACGCGGACCTGCCTTTTTGCGAGCTCAAATGTCTGCCCGAGGTCGAATCATTTTTTTAGATCAATGGCGATTTATTCTTTTTTTTAATTTTCATCTTTTATTCAAAGTAAATTAAATTTATATCGATTTAAATTCTATATTCTATTCAGATATTTTTATAAATATTTTCTTATATATATATATAATGTGTGTGTGTGTGTGTATTAAAAAATAATATAATCTAAATTTAATTTTTTTTTCATATTAATTTTTGTACAATATAAAAATTATTAATCATAAAATAAACGTGCTAACATTAGTGTTTAAAATTTATATAATTTTTAATTTAAAGATAGATAGAATACAAATTTATAAATAATATAATAAAATTGACAATAATTGGTTAATATCTTTTTAAATTTGTATCAATATTTTGTTAAAATGCAAGAATTTATCAATTTAAAAAAAAATGATTGAATCAATTAAATTAAAAAGATTAATTAGGTTAACAAAATTTGATTTAGTTTTAACCGAAAGAATTTTCATAGTCAAAGAAGTTTCATAATCAGAGAGGCATCATTGGTCTGACAAAGATTACCGAATCTAACGAAGAGTAATCATGTCAAATAATTGTGATAAACTGATAAGAGATAAGAAGTCGATATTTCAACGACCTCTAAAAATATAATCTCTCTTTTTTTTTTCGATTGTTAACCGAATTCTTATTTTCTGATCTTTGTAAGAATTATTATTTATACATTCGTTTAGATATATTCGCTTATATTATATTAAATTTAGTATGTTATATGAATTATATTTAAGTAAATTTATATTATTAAAAATTATATTAAAATTAATATAATTGTATTAAAATTAATTAATTGAATTTAAATCATTAATAAAATTGAACTAAATTGAATTTAATTAAATTTAAGTTTCATGAAATTTATTAATTAAATTTAAATTTAATCAAATTTAAATTATGAAATTTAAATTTATATCAGTTAAAAGGACTTAAAAAAACGAAATCTTTATTAACAAAAAATTCATACATTTTTTTCAACAATTCAAACATCTTTTTTATGAATCATTTATTTCTTCAAAATTATTTATGATGCGGTTTTGAGGATGATTTCAACGAAAAGTTAAGATTTCTCGGTACGTCACTATTTCTTTAAAGATAAAATCACGGACCGGCAGTTTAGAGACGTTAATCGTTATTACTTAACGAACAGGTGCATAGATGCTGCGTTTCTCCCCTTTCTTCCGTTTTCTTCCGCAAGAATCGGCAGGCAGGAGTTTGAAGAAGGACCCCTTCAAGAAACGATGCAGGTAGCCCACGTTTCTGGACGCCCACAAACCTGTTTTACCTGTTATATCTTGGCTGGCTTATGAGTACCATCGATTCTTATGCTCAATCTTTTTCTTCAATCTTCTTTTTTCTTTTCGAAAGGATCTTACAGAAAGAAGAGAGAAAGAGAAGACGGAAACGTCAAATGATTTGTCAATCAAATCAGTCAACTCCGCATATTACATTTAAAAATTCCATATCTCACTTATTGCGAGAAAATAATTTGTCAATTGTTTGATTACTTGAAATCATTTTCTACATTAAATTATATTTATTATTTAAATATAAGTGGTAATAATTTTATTAGTAATCCATAAAGAAAATCGGTTAAAAAAAGAAGAAGGAAAATGTATGTATATATATATATATAACAGCTGTTTTTGTGGTCAACAGCTAAAAAAAAGATTTTAGAAAAAATTTTGACACGAGTGTAAGAGACAAATCCGATGCTTGGGCATTGAAACTTTTTTTTCGAAAAATGTTGTGTCCATGGTTCTTCTGGAACAAGATTCCTTGGAATTCGAGTCCAAGATCTAATAGATTCCCAAGGTGGGTAGAAAGGAGCCGATAACTTTTCAGGAGGATTCTTTCTTCGATCGATCAGATGTAAACGTAAGCAGGGAGGATTCCATTGTGGATCATCGTTCTTTCAGAAAAAAAAAGAGATTTCGACCTCAAGTCCTCGCACATACCTGTCCCATGATTAATGTTACGCCTCCTTGGGAACCTTTTTGTTGTCTGACAACCCCCGGAAAATCCGGCCGGACCAATAACATTGCCTTTAACTCTGTATTTAACTCTGTATATTTAAAAAGAATCATTTATAGCTATATATATATAAATATATTTATAAATAATTTATAACATTAGATAAAAATTAATTATTATTTAACATAATATTTATATTATATTTATAGAATGGTTTTTTAATTTTTGATACAACGTTATTTCGTTTTGTAGTTTGAATATTTAAAATACAAAAGAATCTCGATAATTCGAATTTCAAAGAAAGAACTAAAATCTTCGAGTTATGGAGGTAAGTTTCAGTAAGAGAGATTTAATAAACGAAACTTGGCATATAAAGACTTTGTATGGGAAATAATATTTTTCCAATTGATGAGTACTCGAAGAAAGAGAAATCTATAAGTGTCGTCTTTTGTTTTCGGACATTCGCAATTTTAACTGAAAGCAATTTTTTAACTAAGACAATTTTAATTGAAAAGAAGGAGAAAGTATCGAATGGTCGGTTACTGACACATAATTAAATATGTACTTTGAATTGTAAAAAGCATCGGTGATAAAAGTTTAACTCATAGAGGTAAATTTCGATTTGTAAAGTCGAAGTTCGAAAGCAGAGATATTATAAAATAATGCATTTAAATGTTGATTTGAATTATTGATTTAAATTAAATTAATTTTATTATTTTAATTAGAAAAAAACTAAAAAAAAATTGCTTTTCTCTCCCAGATTCAATATTTAAAAAATAAATTGATATATATTAATTTTTAAATAAATTTAGCTATTTAGCTATTTAATTTTTATTTTTTATTATATTATTAATTAATATTATTTTCTTTTATTTAATATTATAAATTATAAATATATTATAATATTATAATATTATAAATTAATATTTTATAATTTTCTTTAATTAATTAAATCTAATTTTACTTTAATTAAATTAATTTTTATTTAATTTTTTAAATTCAATCCAATTTTTTTCATCCAAAATTATTTTCACAAATAAACTTTATTTATTGAAAATAAATATTATCAAACAAAAATTTGTAAAATTAATTGCATGATGAGTATATAAACAATCAATTGTATAAACAAAAATTAAAAAAAAATTTATTTACAAATGTAAAAAGTCGAATAACGTGCAAATAATAATCAATAATTTTGAAAATTCGCTTAGTTATTAAAATTATCGTTCAGAGTAATCGAAATCGAACCAGAATATGTTTCATGTCTTGGGAAAAGGAATTTGCTTTGTCGCGGTTACGTCAACGCATCGACCGAAGGAAGAAAGAAAGGGAGATCTTGCAGCCTCGAAGAATGCCGTGTAATGATGTTGCACATCCGGGAGGACGACTGAAATGACGTCGATCCCCTCCTCTGCCCCTTCTCTTCTTTTTCTGCCGCTTCTTTCCTCTCCTTTTCTCTCTCTTATTTCCTTGTTCGTGTTTCATGCTTTGTTTATGTCAATTATTTCCATTCTTCACCTTTTTCGCACATCTTTTCTTCTACGTGTTTGCTATCTATTCTCTTGTTTATTTTTTTTTTCGATTTGTTAATTATTATTCATTATCTCATTTCTAATATCTTTTTCCCAGTTTCTTCACTTTTTCTGTCCTTTTACAATGAAAAATACACTTACAATGAAAAATACATTCACATACTTATAAAGAAATTCATTTATTTCGAAAAATTTGATTTTAATGAATATTTCCGTTTATTTGAAATATAAATTATATACAAATTTATTGGCATTTTATTTTTTAAACGATAGAAATTTTTCCAAAGGCATGAAATCAATCTTAAAATTTTTATTATTTTTTTTTTATGTTCTGTTTATACAATTTCATCTGGAAATATTTTTTATAAAAGTTAATAGAACGTTAAAACAATGAATATTCTATAGTTTAAAATTTTGCTCTATCATTGCATTTAAAAAAACGAAATTATGAAATATTGAAATATTAAAAATTAATTTCATATTCTCAAAACAATATTTCATTAATAAAAAAATTGCTTCATTTATTATTATTATTAATTATATACTATGTTTCATATAAAACAGAATTATTATTAGATCTGATAATAAAATTTAGTTGAATTCGCATAAGGTGTAAAATTTATGTAATTGTAGTTATCTCTTGCTATTCTTTCAATTTTAATCTTTTCTTTTATTTTTCTTCTTCTTTAATTATTCTTCTTTGCGTTTTCAACCGTTTATACTGGATTATGATGGAGAATTAAACGATGATAGAATAATTCCTTAAAAGTACAAAGAAGAACGTTTGAATGAAACGAAAGAAAAAAAGAATTGTAAATTTCATTTAATTATTTCGAAATATTATTCATTTTTTTCATTAACTTTTATGCTAATATCTAAAATTTTCAATAATTTAACTTTTAATTTTAATAATTTTTTAGTTAAAAAAAATGTAAAGTTGAAGTGCGAATCAATAATAAATATATATATAGATATTAAATAAACAAAATAAATGCAGAATTTGAAAATTTTTAAAGCAAAGCATATAAAATTTTAAATTTTACTTTTAGAAAAAGATATCTAAGTATTACAATATTGAGATAAAAATTAAATATTTCTCACTTTTTTCATGATATTTAATTTTGGCAATGTATAA